TATGTACATACAAATATATATATAAACCTATACCTTTATACGTCCATCCCCTCTTCACATCCACTTGCTGCATGTCCTATTTCCCATTCGTTTCTTGTTGTATATACACGTGGTTCTGAATCCGTTACCTTTTACTCATTGCATCCACAGAAGTGATGTTGAAGACAAGTCTGTGCACATTCTGATTGAACGGCAGACAGATGGGCTGCAATTGGGCGGAGACAACGTCATGTTCAATAACATGCAGGACCTTGTTACGTACTACAAGTATGTCAGTGTCTCGGTGTCCTTGTGTCATTGTAACTTACTACAAGTATGTCTGTGTCTTCCATGCACTTGGACATACACCGTTTAGTTTCGTACTACAAGTATCTGTGTTCTGTGTTGTGCTATGATAACTACGTGCTGTCATCGTTATTCGGTTTTAGGGGTTTAGGGTTTACTTATTTCGTTGTCTCTCTGTTCTCATGCCTTATGCCAATGATTGCTCCTGTGTCTGTGGGTCTGTGGGTCTGTAGGTCCGTAGGGTTTATTCCATGTCTCTACCTACCACTTGTAAACCTTGTTACCCCCGTCACCCCCATTCCCATTTGCAATGCGCTCCAGAAACATAAGATCACCATACAAGGTCGGCTGTCAACGTATGTGTGTAGTGGTGTAAACCCTTAGACCACTTCTAATCCCTGTCTACCTACCACTCCTCCCCAGAAAACATAAGATCACTATAGAAGGTCAGTGTCAACGTATGTGTGTAGTGTGTATACCCAACCACTTTTAATCCCTGTCTACCTACCACTCATCCCCAGAAAACATAAGATCACCATAGAAGGTCAGCTGTCAACGTGTCTTAAGAAGCCAATGTGCAAATACGCGCAGCTGTAGTGCCGTCGCAACAGTGCCACGTGAGTGGATGGGGTGGTGGTGGTCAATCAGAAGACGCTCCGCAGATGACCCCAACGAGTGTGAGCAAAGAGCCCATTGAAGGATAGGGATTAGAGTAGCTCGAGTAGTCAGGGCATAGGGAGACTCGCACAGAGGCCCTTGCACCACACAAAGAGGATGAGTGTGGGTGTGGATAATTTAGTATTAATGAACCGAATAGGAGATATGAAACCAGAGAATATGGATGAATAAATTAGAATGAGAACTATGCGACGGGGTATCTGACGAGAGAGTGAAGTGATGAGTATTTTAACGAGAGAGTGTTGTGATGAGTGTATTAACGAGAGTGAATTGATGAGTATATTAACGAGAGTGTAGTGATTAGTATATTAATGAGAGAGTGTAGTTATGAGTATATTAACGAGTGTAGTAATGAATATATTAATGAGCGAGTGTAGTGACGAGTATATTAACGAGAGTCTATTGATGAGTATATTAGCATGGTGACTATACAGATGGTCAAGACAGAACAGTATTCCCACACGGAATTGACGGGCTAGCACTATGCAATTCTTATCTGGTAGTCGTTTTCTGCACATACCATGCGCAGTAAGCAACAGGTGAGCGTAGATATCATGTTGTAATGTGAGCGTTGGTTGACTGAGGCATCTTGCAGTCTTAAAATGTACTATTGTCTGTTCTAGGGTTCTAGGGTTCTTGGGTTTTTAGGGTTCCAGGGTATGTCAATTTTATCAAATAGGCTATGGTACAGTAACAGTGAATAGCTCAGGCTATGGTACAGTAACAGTAAATAGCTCAGGCTATGGTACAGTAACAGTAAATAGCTCAGGCTATGGTACAGTAACAGTAAATAGCTCAGGCTATGGTACAGTAACAGTAAATAGCTCAGGCTATGGTACAGTAACAGTAAATAGCTCGTGCCCATGTCGAGGTGGATCCACAAACAAGCCGCAGAAGAAAATCCACGTATTGTACTTCGGTGCACATATCATTGCAAAGTCTTCTAACGCGTATCGTAGTATTAAAATCAATTCTCTAATTCGTAATAAACGTATGATATAAATTATATCTCAGACAGTAAATGGGAGGAACCCAATGGTGCCGTGCAGGTCTGTATGTCTGATGTCACTTCGCGAAAGGCGTTTAGTCGTCCTTGCATTGCGCTTTGTAGTCAAACTTTAAACCTAAAATACGCGACTATTTACAAATTTTATTACTTTGTCTGACATGTTCGTTATTTTTAAATCAGTATATTGGACGCAATTATGTCTATATGTACACCATGTCATTCCTTGGGAGTTTCTTCACATCATCCATCGGGTAACCATTCACCGTCAGCCAGTTCAGAGCTTTTTTAACTTCCAGTTCCTTTTCATAACCGTTCTTCGACATTAACCACACATAGTCTTTAGACGGGACGGTGACAACAGTGAGGTTCTTATCGTCACTCTGGTAGGTAACCAAATAATCTGCCTTGAACGGCCACACAAATTGTAGCTTCCAAAAGCTCGAGATGTCTGTTGGCCAGGCTTTCCCTCGCATCACTTTCTCAGGGCCATCGAATGATTCTTCATTGAATTTGTATGTTAAATGTATAGTTCCGCTGACATCCTTGGTGTAGCATTCCATTGGATTGTGCGCGTTCTTATCCTTAGGCGTGAGTGTAGCGTAGAGCACACGATGATCTACCATAAATCGATCTACATCAAAATTATCTACGGTTTTCGGTCGCTCGGAGAAAGAGACGCCAATAAAGTCTAGGAACCCCATATTGTCAATTGATGTATTGTTTCGTTTCCGCGGGGGTCGATTTTGTACCTGGGTTTTGATAATCGACACCTTTTTATTTATTTGTTTTGAGTGCTGAGTCGATTAAGGAAGATTGTATTGTGGGGTTATATACTGTAAAACAGTATAAGAGAACCGGAACCAGACATTTAAAAAAAATTAGTACATAATGAAAGTTCTGTGGTTGTTCCTTGTTCGACAATGTTCCAATCGCGATGATTGATAGATGAACTATGAACTATAAACAAATGAACACACAAAAGAAGATGAGAATGAATCTGAAATCTTTCAATCACATAGTCAATTAGAGTAGAGTCGAACAGCAGACACTATGTACTACTACTAGAGAGGCAAATAAGTATAACTAGAAGAGAGAGAGAGATCTCTCTCCAGAGCATACATTTATTACTGCAGGTATTCACTATTCACTGTATTCTGATTGGCCATTTTTAAATGCGCATGAGTTCCAAAATATAACGTAAATTCTTGTGGGTAATGCATGACTATTCAATGTTCATTCACTACATATGGTCAAAAACCAATTTGGCGCCAATTTCAAGATTGGCTCACCTGGCATTGGGATTTCCAATTTCAAGATTGGCTCACCTGGCGTTGGGATTTCCAATTTCAAGATTGGCTCACCTGGCGTTGGGATTTCCAATTTCAAGATTGGCTCACCTGGCGTTGGGATTTCCAATTTCAAGATTGGC